ATAGGTCTCATCGGACATCTTCGGACCTAAGAACACGGTAACTCCGTCTACAGCCTTGCGAAACCGCCTCCACTGTCACACCTATGATGACTCACGCCCGCGACAGCGAACACCACCAGTACCGGCGAAATGACTCCGGACTCCCCCGCCGCCAACCACAACCTCCGTCGTCAATACCACCAGCACCAGCACCGCCGCCACTGCCCCTCCCCTGTACCAGCAGCGCGGACTCGATCCCAACCCGTCCCCACTGGGGCCGCTTCTTCAGATCACATATTGGCCTGGTCGGTCACTTGTGGATCTATCTCAGTGAGACCAGTGAACCAACTCCTGGGACCCGACATATTTATCATACGCGCATTACCTATGCAGAATGGTCCAGAACTTTCAGACATCGCATGGGTCTTTGCAATCACATGCGCGTCCACGACAGCGGAATTCTCTGCAATGTCGACAAGTCACACCCGCTCGGTAGTTTCGAAAACTTCCGTCATCAGTGTCGCCACCATTAACGGCATCAACATCACCAACTCCTCAGCTACCAACCTATCCTGCTGATGTTTTACTACACATTTACATCGCGCATCGGCCTGATCGATCACTTGCGTACCCATCGCACCTCGAGTGGTAAAACAGTGCCGGTAGCCCTAAATATACACCCGTTGCACACGCCTACATTACATACGAACCTTCAGTCCCCGTAACAGCCTATTCGGACATATGCAACAACTGGAAAATCTACAGCAAAATACTGCAGTACCAACTCAGTCAATATATTTTGTCCAACCAGTGCATACAACACACACGAGCCTGTTCCCCAACATACGACAAATGAACAGAACGTGCGAATCTCACAGCAGTGGAAAACGGGCATCTTGGTGCAGTCTGATGCCTGTCTCCGATCGTCCTGACTCCCTCTTACCACTGGGCTCAGGCGGGTTAGGTAGGAGGGAGTGTGGCCCATGCAACACAAGCCTACTATCACTACAAACCAATTCGCGCTCAAGTTACCATCCCGCGTCTGCCATGCTGCGGGGCTCCAGGTGAAGATCTTCGTTCATTGCGATGGAACTATTAGTCCTTAGAGGATGGAGAATGAGATCAATTCCCATGCAGTTATTCCTCACTGTGATGAATCTAACATGAATTTATTAATACCCCTTAACTCTGGCCTTATGGGAACTCTGGCCGAGGGGATGGAGTCTGATTGGTTTTGACTAAAAGGCAGGCATCCATGTGGCTCGCGCAAACAAAGGCTTTATGCAAGACTCGACACCGTGCCTGGTGTCGTCTGAAGCCATTTTGCATTTATCTTGGTATTAAAATAGGATGATTATGCGGAAAGATATGAGATTGCTATTTTATAAGCCATCCAAACTAAATTTTAGTCCATGTCCAAGGACGCCAGAGGCGGCAGTGTCGGCGACGGACCACGTCGCGTCTGACGATCAAACTTTCAACCACCCACTGGTATTAACTTGTTTTGTATAGTGGGAAGTCGAAAGGAGATAACTCATTAAACTAGAAGGCTCACCAACACGTATGGTTAGAGTAACGACTTTTCTTGTTAGTTAGGGACATCTACCTTGCTATTAAAACGTTTGTAATGGGGAACTGTGTATAGTGGAAAACTTTCACAGTTAGAAATGGCGTGTTACCAAACGGGGTCTAATCGGTAATCACCAAATTTCGCGCGAGGTGCCATACTACTGAGCTGTGGACGGCACTCCTCATCTGTAAGTATGATAAATTCTCGCTTACCTCGGACTCTCAGGGCGAGCCCATGTTAGCCTGAGCAGTTTGTTGTTCAGCATTCACTACACGCCAAAAACACTTTTCGGCGGTTGTCCTCAGAAAACCCATCGACGGATCATTAGCGCATTCGCAAGTAAAGTTTTGTGTTTCATTGACAGCTGAAGGCAAACATCCTAATGTGCGTCGACAAACCCGATATTGAAAAGTCAAGTTGGCGAACGCACGTTTTCGGCAATTCTTCCTCAGGCCAATACAATTACATGAACGAATGAAAATGTACAAAATCAACAGTGTTTATAGATGCCTCAAGGGCTATTAAGTCACTAACACTCATCATCC